AGAAGTCATTAGGCCAGCAAAGTTCCATGTTTGTGGTTTGTTTACCCTGCCCCCTACTTTTGGGATCTCTTCTGCCACAACCAAGTTTGTGAGCTCCTCAGAATTTCTAATTTCAGATATATATTCACAGATTTGTTTCCTCTTCTTCTCTCATTGTGTCTTATTTGGGGTGATAGTAATGTCAAGGCATTGTGGTGAGTGACAGTGGAAGATTTTTATGTGGTACGTGTTCGCATATATATTAGACCCATTTTCCGTTTTGCCATTTGAAATATCGAATCTCTGACACTAATCCATGACCTACTAGACTCTGACTTCTTATGGTAACATTGATAAAAATACTCCTAAAGGACTAGAAGTAGAGGCATTTGATAGGAGGCACGGTGTATACTTGGACTTGCCTTTTGCTTCATCAGAGATACATATTATAAAACCTCTCACACATTTTTCTCCTTTTGTTTCTCCATGAATTTTCAAAATTAACAAATATGTAACTTCCTGACTCCCTGTCTCTGTCACCTTGGTCACAATGTATATTTTTATATACACATATATAATCCTACTGCCATCACAGGTATATTCTTGAGAGTACTCTGACTTTGGAAAATACAAATTTCATGAAGAGATCACTACCCCCAGTAAACTGAGGTAACTGAAAATTCAAGCTGTGGTGAGCTTATACTTCAACAAGTTTATACATGAAACAATGTAGAGGAAAATAAATATTTTGGGAACATATGTGAAGGACATATATCCACTTAGGAATTTCGATTGGCATAGGTACTCTTGCATTTTAATATATTAAATATATACTATGGATTTGCAAACATGAAATATATGTGTCAAACACTTATATTACCTTGATTCTTCCATGTCCATCTGTGTGGATTTACAAGCAACTTTTCACAAGATATTTCTCAGACATATTCATTTTCTTGACTTACATATTCATTTCTGAATACTCAAAATGAACTTCAGTGAAGATTGAGTACTAACCCTTATATTTCTACAGTAAGTTATCCATTCGAACATCAATGAAAGTATGTTCATATGGGACATGATGTGTATTTTGATGTAAATTTTCATTCAAAATTGTTAAATTCCTTTTTTTTCAGAAATGATACATCATAGGATGTATCATTTCATCCAATATTCACAAATTGACATGCATATGATTCACTTTCATTCACTCTCGGTATCAGAAAGGAAGTTACCTCACCTCAGTTCCTTGGTGATGAAACTTTCTGAACTTGGGATCCAAGAGGCGAGGCACCCACAGGCAGTTCCAGTCCCAGTGGGCTCACTTGTTTGTGTATACCAAGGCCAGAGTCATTCTTTCTTGGCACCTAGTGATGTGTGGATAGCCAAATGCCTTGAATGCTCTGAACAAGGGCCTTTCGTGAGAAAGAAGTATTGGCTCATTGCTGGCTCCTGAAAACTACACACAGATAGCCAAGGAGACCAGAGCTGAGACAGGACAGGCCACTGCTAAGGAAAATATTTTCACCCACCAGTCAGAGGACAGAGTGGATAGATGCAGACCAAATACAGGGGTGGTTTGTGTGTCTTAGTGGGTGTGTTTTTCAATTTGTCGTTTTGTCTCATGTTCTGAGAGCATGATTGAACAACTTTTTTGTTGTTGTTGGTGGTGGTGGTTTGAAATGGAGTGTTAACTAGTGAGTCTTTCAATGTCAGTGGATCCCACTGGGTTTGCGGTTAAATAGAGTAGAGAGAAGAATGCAGCCGTGTATGTATTCTGTCTAGTGGAAATCTTTGCAGGACTCCTCATGGCCAATTTATGAATGGACTGCTGCTTGCCTTGCAGATGGGCAACACCTACCAAGATCCTAA